GTCTCATTTTGGCCTGGGGCTTGACTCACTCCACCTCCTCCCTTCTGGCTCCACGCATGCGCCCCGTGTGCTGGAACAGTTGGACAGGGAAGGCGGGCTCCTCTTTTTCCCTCCACTTGGTGCACGCGCGAGGAGGTGAGAGCAGCTGTACGGGCAGCGCAGCTGCTCTTTCTCTTTCCCGCACCTTCCCCACGTGCTTCCGTTCTTTGCCTCAGGGCGATGAAGCCGAGCTCCCTCTGAAGGTGGTGCTGCTGCCTCCTCCAGGCATCAGGTGTCTTCCAGCTGTGCTCCCAAAGGGTGACTTGGGGGAAAGCAGCCCACCCGGCCGTCTCAGTGGGTTAGTCATTCGCCGCTCGTGGGGGGGGGGGAGCTCATCAGCCCAAGAGGGATGTGCCACTTCCAAAGGGCTCCATTGTGGACTCCTGAGAGGAGACAACATGCAGGTGCCCTGGGGAAGGAGGGAAAGAGGGGCGCTCTGTTCATGCCTTTGAGTGCTTCTACACCAGGCATGGGCCAACTTCAGACCCCACTTCCATATAAAGCCCCTGGAGGGCCCAAGTTGGCCCATGCCTGAACTACACTATGGAATGAATGCAGTGCCACAATTTCAACTGCCCTGGCTCAGTGCTGTGCTATCCTGGGAGCTGTAGTTTGCTGGGCTTTGGCAGAGAAGGCATTGTGGGGGTCCTTCCACACAGCTGAATAAAATCCCACATTTTCCGCTTTGAACTGGAATATATGGCAGTGTGGACTCAGATAATCCAGTTCAAGGAGACATTGTGGGATTTTCTGCCTTGATATTCTGGATGGAGGTGGGGTATAAAAATAAAGTTATTATTGTTATTATTATTGGGCCAAACTTCCCACACAGAACCCCCATAACCAACAAAAAATACTGTGTTTTCTGATGGTCTTTGGTGACCCCTCTGACACCCTCTCAGCCCCCCCCCCCCAAACTTAGAAATGCTGCTATAAAGTTTCTTTCCAGCCTTTTCTGGAGATGCCAGGGACTGAATTTAGCTTTTGGATTATATTCTAACATTACTCCTTAAAGTAGAAAGAAAGAAAGAAAAACAAACAAGTGGAGGCTCCAGGCTCCACAGTTCATGGCCATTGGATTCCATCAGCTGCACCTTTATTTACTGATGAGAAAAATGTAAAACAATATCCTTAGACTAAACCTTGGAGGTTTTGATATAAACCCTTGATAGTGGTATTGGCAGGAGACAATAATTACTCCAGTTGATTCTTTTGCAGGATTTTGTCAAAAACTACAAATTATGTATAGCTGCTGTGGAATATATTGTCTTATTTAATATCCTTTCTCTTAATATTTAATATGTTGCCCTGCAGCAGAGAAATACCTTGCAACTTTTGATAGAGCTCAAACAATGGCAAAAAAACTTATTCAGGATTTTCAGGCAGTATAATATGTGTGTGTGTGTCCCTTCATTCCTAAACTTATTGAAACTTTCAACCTAAAAACTGTTTAATTCCCTTAGAAAGGTATTTTTAAAAAATATTGTGTTACACTATAAAACTATGAAAATGGGGACCCAGAAAAAAAGGTTTTCTTCATGTTGCATATGTGTTGTATCCCACTGACTCGATTCTTATTTAACTTTCCCATCTCATCACTCTAAGGCATTCAAGTTTCAATTTAAAACAAATTACATGTCCTATTACACTAGGCTGGCGCTTGTTCTGCCTCCTCTTCTCGCGCAGTGCTGTGTCAGCTTGCTTTGCCCTTTCACTGACAGTTCCAATTCAGCACAAGCAGAGTAGCCCGGACAGCAATAACCGGACTTTATAAAGTAAACAAAATCAGTCAATGGAGCCGTGATTTTCTGTTGAAAAGAAGCCACCTCTGTTTTGAAATGGAGTTTGGAAGAGCCATCAAGTGCTCTGAGCCCACCTTTTATTCTTTGCATTCCACTGTACCGTCCTGAATGTGTCGTTGGACTACCGTCAGAATTATAATTTAAGGAACATTAAAACAAACCTTAGCTTGGATCCTAATTTTCCTTCCATGAATGGAACAGAGTTCATGAACTTTCTCATTGTCCTCTTCCCTCTCAGATGGAGAGTTGATGGGAGTTATGCCTGCCCTTTTTGGTGCATGGTTCCCAAAATCCCCCAGCAAACTGGCAAGAGGATTCTGAGTGTTGTGGTCCCAAAGAGTAACTTGCCTCCAACAGACAAGAGTTTTTTCTCCCACTCTGGACCACAGAACACTTATGTGTTCCTGGCCATCACAGTTTGGCACTTGCTTTGAATAGCATTGAATGGATAACATAACATCTTAAACATAAACACATATTGGGTTGCTTTGAGTTTTCTAAGGTGTATGGCCATGTTCCAGAAGCATTCTCTTCTGTCTGGACAGGAAATAATCAGGGCCAGCTAACACCTCCCAACAAAGGGTTCCCCCAGGCAGAAAGCAGCCAGGATTTGAAGCTGCAAGCCTATTCAATGCTTATCAAGCTGGCACAATCTCACAACCTCTGAGGATGCCTGCCATAGATGTGGATGAAACGTCAGGGGGGAATGCTTCTGGAACATGGCCATACAGCCCGAAATACTCACAGCAACCCAGTAATTCTGGCCATGAAAGCCTTCGACAAGGCATACATATGGATCTGGGAGTGAATAGTGCTTTAAACAATTATTTGAAATATGGAATAAATGCAAACCATATACATGTGGACAAGCAACATCACGGTATGGTCCAGATGGTACTTTAAACTCAGTGTGGAGTAACTGAAGTATGCCAGCGACAAAGGAAAAAGTGCAGGGAGGCGAGAGGAGAAGCAAACGGGTATTTTGGAAGCAACTGAAAAGTGGGAATGCACTGAATTAATCAAGATTATCTCTGCTAAATAAGGATGGCTGGAAGCTATGAGATAAGGTTAATAGTAAGACTTCCTTCCAATTTGCAAGCCCAACTTTTGTCACTTCTGTCTTTTAATTCCTTGAATCTAAAAAGCCTATTAATTAATGGTATAACCTCTGCAGTTTGAACTTGTTATGTCTTTGACCGAGAAAGATCTACTTAAGGAATCAAGACTGCACAGTTTTATGAATTTTCTAATATTAAAATGATCGCCTGCAACAATCCAGAATGAAGATGTACATGTGTGTGTGCATGTACACTTCATTCTCTTTCAAGGGGTTGGCATTTGGAATTGTTTAAAAAAAATGTTTAAAAAATACCTGGAGGTTATCAGGTGACGTCTAAGTCTGATGAACAATGTAAGATTTCACTAATTGGTCCAATTAGTCAAACATTTTGAAATTGTTGTGTTTTGTTGAGATCCAACTTGCAATTTGGTCTTGCCACCCTACAAGCCACAAAACATTTGTCATGGGAAGAAGCTGTTAAATGAAAGGAAGAGGGTTTAAAAGCCACCCAGAGTGTAACCAATGAAAATTGCAAGCTACGTTCCAAAAACTCAGTACATAAGACGAGAAGCTTGAAACCAATGTTTTGGCTCATAAGTTCCAAAACAAAGAACTTCACCCATGGCAGAATTTCTTTTTCTTTTCTTGGTTCTCTTCCCTTCTCACTTTTGATGTCTCTCGTCCACATTCTTTGTGAACTACTTATATTCTTGCAGGTTGCAACGGCTTTGTTTGTAATTGAAGCAATCTGTTTTGAACTGTTAACATTCCTTCTAGACTGTCACAGATGAAAATTAGAACAAATGCAGCCAAATAAAATCAGAGTCTGGTCAATATGGAAAACATTATTAATTAATTTATTTATCATCTCATAAGCAAATTTAGAATACAGTTATAATGCATTAGAAACCACAAACAGAGTTAAAAACTTGGCATTATGCTAAATTTCCTTTGACCAGTAGCTGGCCACATGGGGTGCCTCTAGTGTTGCTATAAAAAGGTCCTCCATTGTGCATGTGGCTGGCTCAGACTGCATTGTAGTAATTGGTCTGTGGTTTGCTCTTCCTCATACTCGCATGTTGCGGACTCCACTCTGTCGCCTCATTTCTTAAGATTGGCTCTGCATCTCGTGGTGCTAGTGCACAGCCTGTTCAGTGCCTTCCAGTTTGCCCAGAAGGGAGTTTCTCATTCAGTATCAGCTACTGATATAGGTTCTGGGTTTTAGCCTGCCACTTTTGGACTCTTGCTTGCTGAGATGTTTCTGTGAGTATCTCTGTAGATCTTAGAAAACTATTTTCTGATTTAAGTAATTGGCATGCTGGCTGATATCCAAACAGAGGATGGGCCAGAGATGTCAATACCTTTGTCCTTTCATTACTGGCTGCTACTTCCCAGTGGATATTGGATGGTGAAATACCAGCTAAACCAGTGGTTCTCAACCTGTGGGTCCCCAGATGTTTTGGCCTTCAACTCCCAGAAATCCTAACAGCTGGTAAACTGGCTGGGGTTTCTGGGAGTTTTAGGCCAAAACACCTGGGGACCCTGGTTGAGAACCATGGAACTAAACAGTATAATTTCTCTAGCAGCATCCTGTGATAATGCAGCAGCGACTTGCAACATTATTAATGAGGATGCATAAACAAGCTAGGAGAAATTTCAGCAACTTGATTTGGCCTGATTCTGGGAAGATCAAGATTGAGAGAATAAAATAAAAACGTATGAAGAAACCAATAGAGGGTGGGGGAAATCTGTCACGTTATTCAGAGATAATCCAAAATTATATCTCATACAGTTTGGTATATGGAAGCCTATTTCTTATCTCGGGTCCAAAAAACTTCTGGTTTGTGGAGAAAAGAATAAGTTGATGGGACAGTAACATCTAATGATTCTAATGATAATTCAAATGCATTGTTGTATCCCTGGAAGTTTCAGGTTTGATGATTTTAATTAATGTAAAGGTTTAAATGGAAACTTCTTATATAGACATCTGAGAAACCATGAAAAGTAAACATACATTTTAAATGACAGTATGAATTTAATGTTTTTATTAAAAACAAGCTATGGCTGTTGTAAAAATACTTTTTCCTTTTCCTTTTTAGAACTGTGTATGCAAGGGCAAAAACCACTGCTATTGCGATGGAACAAAAGGCAGTAAGGTAAGGGGATGTGTGCATTTCACTGTAGTTCATGTCAAATAGTAGTAACTTATAATAGAAAATTGTAATTCTAGAGTATAAGAATATTGATCATTTTTATAATTATACAAGTGGTGTACTCCCTCCAGTGGCGAGTGTTAGAATAGCATAATGCCATTCTAAAATACCACTAATGTATGACTTAAGAAAGAAAGAAAAAGACTGTCTTTCATACATTATGTTAGGACAGAGCTTTCCAAACTATGTATCACAACATCTAAGAGTGTCGGCTGCAATATGTAGGGATGTTGTGTGAATGTAACGAGAAACTTCTGAGATTGTGTGAAGTAAACATGAAATTCTATTTTATATATATGTAAATGAAATGTTTTTAATGTGATATGGACAGGGGCAGCTCAACCCATTACGTAAAGTAAGCATTTGCAGTATAGTTGATTTTGCCCAGGGGTGCTCTTGAGGTGCTCTTGGGGGAAAATAGACCTTGACATATGTGAGTTGTAGTTACTGGGATGTATAGTTCACCTACAATCAAAGAGCATTCTGAACTCTACCAATGATGGAATTGAACCAAATATGGCACACAGAACTCCCACGACGAAGAGAAAATATATATATCAGTGATTGGTGGAGGGGGGGGGGGCAAAATACTGTTTGCTTACCGTTGAAAATTACCTAGGGCCGCCTCTGGATATGGAACGACCTGCCAGAAATGCTTTGGCAGCTAAATTCGCTGCTGGAATTTAAAACACAGTTGAAGACCTGTCTCTTCTGGCAGGCCTACCCAGCCAGTTTTAATCATGAATTAATTCACTATACTTTAATATTTTACCTGTGTATTTTAATATACGTGTTTTGTAAAAAAATACATATGAGCATTTTATATAATGATTATGTGTTTTAGCTATGTTGTAATCTGCCTCAAGATGCAAAGTAGGTAAGAAATAAAATGATAATAACAATAATAGTGTTGTTATGACAATTTTATGTACGTGTCCGTATCTCTTACAAGGGAATGGTTTAACCTCCAGTTTGCTAGTAAAACTGTGTCACAAAATGATGCATGTCAAAAAAGTGTGTCACCAACATGCAGTGTTTGAAAAGTTTTATGTTAAAGGATGAGACACACCACTCCTATTCCACCCACTACAATCGGTGGGTGTTTGGCTCATGGTAGACAATACATACAAAAGGAAAGCTGCTAAAATGATGATAGATAAAAATAAAAATCTGAAAATTGTCCTGTGCACATAGAGTCTATGATGCCCAAATGCTATAATTCAGACACACAGGCTACCAATGGACTCGCAGTGATGCCTAACACACTGAAGCCCTCGGTGCCGCAGTAGGTTAAACCCTTGTGCCAGCAGGACTGCTGACCAAAAGGTCAGCAGTTCGAACCCAGGGAGCAGAGTGAGCTCCGGTTGTCAGCTCCAGCTTCCTATGCAGGGACATGAGAGAAGCATCCCACAGGATGGTAAAACATCTGGGCATCCCCTGGGCAATTTTCTCACACCAGAAGCAACTTGCAGTTTCTCAAGTCACTCCTGACACAAAAATTAAAATAAAATAAAAGCATATACACTGGTGTCAAAGCGCTCACATTCTATTGCTTCTAGTGGCTTCCCTCACAGTGGACAGGTTTTGGGCTATCTACACTGCCATATAATACAGTTTTAAATAGCTGCCAAATGATACATATGAACTATAAAAATCTTATTTGCTGATTTATGAGAAACAGGCAAGAAAAAAATCCCGACAAACCCAAAACATTAAAACCAGGAACCATAAATATTACTAAAACAACAACTATTTTGTCTCCTGTAGTCTTGTGATGTATTAAGAAGATATAAAACTTATTCCCATAGGGAAAAAAAACTAAGAAAAGCAGGCCTAGAACAAGACAAAGTTGTCCCCTCTCAACTATGTCATTTATTTTGGCATTTACTGGGAGATCTCAGACAAGGTGGTAGACTGTGGAATAAAGATAAGAAAGAACAGTACAAACAGAAACTTAAGCTGATGGTCTTGTGATAATGGCACAAAATTATGAAGAAAATTCAAAGTTTCTTCACACTTTAAAAATAATTCTCTTATGAAGCCCAACACACACAAATATAAGAGATATCTAGCCACAGAGGCTGGAGAAAATGAATTCATTTAGAGTTGTATAAAGATAATAACTGAGTAATTTTTAAAAATCTGTAAATGGCATTTGAAACTGGAGACAGAAGACAAACTTGTAAAAAAAAGTACATGATGAGCTGGGCCAAAATTTGGGGCATAATGTTCAAACGGATTTATAGGTTAAATGGTTGTGTGGTAATTTTCTGTGATAATTTAAAAGGAAGAAGGCATGTGCAAGATGGTATATACACTGTTGAAAATATTTAAGAATACTTTGTTTAAAACATACTTTTCAAACAGTCCAGTATCTAAAAACAGAAATACTTCAACACCTCAGGAGTGTATCTACCAGAACTAGATTTGAACAGCTGGATACAATGGTGATGTCGGAACCCAGATGCCTTAAAGAGCCAGACACAGTAAAGTATTCAAAACAACAGTTTATTAAATCAAAGCAAACAGGACTCAGATACACTTGCTTCAGTGCCTCTGGTCAAAACTCAAAGTTTGCAGCAATTTGCAGCTTGAAAAACAAACTTGGAAAATAAACCGGATTAAACTGGCAAAAAACCCGGATTAAACAAGAGTTTCTTCAAAACACACCAAAATCACACAGTTCAAAGACAATGAGCAAACAAAAAGCCGTGAAGAGAAGCCGTCGTCCAAAAGCAGTCCAAAGTCGAAGAAGTCCCAGATGAATATTCCATAGTCCAAAAGGCAGCGTCGTCGTTAGGAACAGTCCGAGGTCAAAGAGAGGGGAAATCCGCACTTACGAGAATCCAAGCCAGTCAGTACATGAAGGAAACAGCAACCTGCAGTTCCAGGACCCACGCCCAACAAGAAAAGCGATGGAGCCCAAGGCACGAATCCAACACTTTGCCTACTGCAAAGTTCTATCACTCCAGTGCCTTCATTTATCCTACAACTCATCATCCGTTGATGAGTTGCCCTCCACCCCATCCTCATCACTGTCAGCTGGCTTAGCCTTAACAGCTGAACGCCAATCCCCATCCCTCCAACTCTTCCACCTCTTGTCAAGACTTAAATCTCCTCATGAATCCATGGTATCACCAGATTGCCAATCCCCACCAGCAAATCCCTCAAAAGTGTCACTGGACATGGGTTGTGTACACACATTCCTGATCTCCTGAACTTGAGTCCAATCCAGTTGTTCTTCTTCATCCTCACTACTCCCAGACCCATTACTTCCAGTAAAACCCGTGAAATCCTTTTCCTCAGTGGGAGCAGTAAGTATGTCCTGAATCCTCTTTCTCTGATGCTCCTCGTCTAACTCTTGCTCCCAAGTAATCCTCTTAACACCTCTACTCTCATCTCTTCACTCATTTCAAAGGATTCCTTGTCTGTAGGTGACATAAGTATCTCCCGGATTCTCTTCCTTTGCTGCTCTTCATCTAACACATGGGCACCTCGTTTCCCTCCTCTACCACTCCTACTAGTAGTTGTAACGTTGCCAGCAGACTCTACTACAACAGGTGAAACATGGAAGGTTTAACAAAGTTCCAGATAAAGAACGATTTTGTATCTGTGGAGCATCAGAGGTAGAAGATATCGCACATATACTGTTTAGTTGTAACTTGTACAAGAAAGAAAGAAACCAATGCCTTTGGTCATACACTACACAAAAAATACATTGGAATCCATATATTGAAACTACATTTTATTGGCCAGCCAGAATGCTAAAATAACATAAAACAACCCTCTTTCTATTTAATGCAACACAGCTAAGAACTGCACATTTAGAGTCACTTGGGGTAAACTGTAGAGGTGATGCAGGTATTTCATCTGGATCAGGATCTTGTTAACAGCTTGTTTATTGTAACTTATGTTGTACTGTGGGTTGTATGCTGTATGTGTTTGTCAAATGTTTTTGATATAGTCAATGGGCTAATCAATAAAACGTACTACTATTACTACTGCTTGAGACCAATGTCAAAATAAGGAGAGCTCCATGAAAGAAAGTGACAAATTGTCACTCTAAAATCTATATCTTAATGCAAAAAATGTATAAGTAGATTTTTAAATGTTCCTATCATTTTTCTTGCTAGACATTATGGATAATGCATTGGACTGTAAATATGGATTTGTTTTTAAATAAATGATAACAGCAGCAAAAATATTTGTCTATTCAAGTCTGCATCCACATCTGGAGAATGGGTTGTCAAACTGTTGTGAACTGTAAACCAACTGAATTTTTTTGCAAGATTGCAAACTATGTATTATCAAAGGTTTTCATGGCCAGAATCACTGTGTTGTTGTAGGTTTTTTGGGCTGTATGGCCATGTTCTAGAAGCATTCTCTCCTGATGTTTCACCTGCCATAGATGCAGGCGAAACATCATGAGAGAATGCTTCTAGAACATGTCCATACAGCCCAGAAAACCTACAACAACCAATTGCAAACTATGTATGAATTTTTTTGGAACAATAAGAGATCTAATGGTGCAATAATCTTGACTATAGTTACTAGTAATTCCAGTAGGATTGTTTAGTTGTATCTGTAACGGTAGAAAAATGCTTTTTTCCCTTTCTTTTCATTTCTCCCTTTTCATTATAGTTTAGATTGGAGTGCTTAGAGCCCTTTTGTGTTTTAGTTAGTATTAAGTTTTTTAGTATTATGTTTTACTTTTAATTTAGTTTCAGTTGTAGTTATAGCAGTAACTATAGTAAGCAGTGTGCAAATTCCTATGTTCACTTGCACATATCTTATTTGTCATGAAAAAAATATGAAAGAACAATACAATATTTAAAATAAAAAACAACTTTAACCAACATAAACTTACCAGTATTTCAATCGAAAATGCGGGCCTGCTTTTGGCTGATGAGATAGTTATATTAATTAGGATTGTTGTTGTTGTGTGCCTTCAGGTTTGTTTTTTTTTTTTTTCAGATTTAGGGCAATCCTAAGTCTCAAGTTTAGGGCGGGATAAATGAACGTAGAAGATCACATTTGGCCTGTGGGCCTTAGTTTGGGGACCCCTGCAATAGGCCTTAGTATCTATAAAGGTTTGGTTCCAAAACCCCACAGAGTTATCCGCTGAATTTCCTTATTTATAAAATGACAAGACTGATACCAGTATCAAGCCTTTAGCTGCCAGTGTACATCCTTCAAAATCCTCCACTTCTGCCTTTGAGGTAGAAGCTGGGGCACTCCTGCTCATTTATCTGAGCAACATGAAGCTGGAGAGATGCAAAGCTAGCAAAAGACGTATGGATTTGGGAAATTGCAGGAAGCATGGATTTATGTCAAACGCTAAGCTTGGATTCCCATAATTTCACAAATCCTCAGTCTCTTCATCTTCACATCTCTTGCCAGCCTTGGGTTTCTTTCCATCTTTGCAAACAATTCATTACTTATTTACTTAGGCAATCATTGTCTGAGTGTGATGGCCTTCCAAGTTCAGTGTCTTGGCAGTGGGTACGTAGGTGATTGTGGAACCCTGTTCTTGACCCACATGTTTGGTTTCCAGGTGGAAGGTGGTCCTAGGCAGGGTTGGCTTGAGGCACCTTCCTCTTGGCATATTTTGCCCCTTTGCCCTCCATTCATGCCTCTTCAAATTCTACAGCACTGTTGGTCACAGCTGACCTCCAGCTGGAGCACTCAAGGGCCAGGGCTTACCAGTTCTCAGTATCTATGCCAGAGTTTTTAAGGCTGAGTTTGAGACCATCTTTAAATCTCTTTTCCTGTCCCCCAACATTCTGTCTTCCATTCTAAAGTTGGAAGTATAGTAACTGCTTTGGGTGATAAGACATTTGGACAATGTGCCCAGTCCAGAAGAGTTGATGGCATAGGAGCATCACTTCAATATTGGTGGTCTTTGCTTCTTCCAGAATGCTGACTTAGTCTGTGCGCATTCAGAAGAAGACCTGTCTTCCCAAGAGATTTGCATGGATTTTTCAGAAGCAGAGCGGATGGAATCATTCCAGGAATTGGGTGTGATGTCTGTAGATAGTCCATGTTTCGCAGGCGTATAACAGGGTTGGGAGGGCAATCGCTTTATAAACAAACCCTATGGATTTTCCAGTTCTCAAAAAATCTCTGCTTCATTCGGGAAAATGCTGCACTCACAGAACTCAGGTGGTGTTGTATTTCAGTGTCAATGTTAACTTTTGTGGAGAAGTGGCTGCCAAGGTAGCGGAAATTTTCTAATGTTACACCATTAATCTGTATTTCTGACATTGGAGAGGGATTGGCTGGTGACTGCTGAAAGAGCACTTTTGTTTCTTGATGTTCAATGAGAGACAAGCTTCTAGTATGCTTCTGCGAAGGTGTTTAGAGTGGCTTGTAGGTCTTCTTCTGAATGCGCACAGACTACGTTATCATCATATTGGAGTTCTATAACAGATGTTGTTGTGACTTGGTCTTGGCTTTCAGTCTGCTGAAGTTAAATAGCTTGCCATCTCTCTGATGGATGATTTCCACTCTGGTGGAAACCTTCCCATCAACAAAATGAAGTATTGTAGTTATGTCACTGGAAAATAAGGTTGGGGCAATAATGTAGCCCTGTTTGACACCTGATTCCATCTTAAATGGGTCACTTTGGGAGCCACTGCTGTCCAAGACCGTTGCCATCATATCATCGTGGAGGAGCCACAGGATATTCACAAATTTGTCAGGGCACCCGATTTTTTGGAGGATGGTCCAGAGAACACTGAGATTCACTGTGTCGAATGCCTTTGCAAGGTCAATGAATGCTATGTACAGAGGTTGATTTTGTTTCCTGCATTTTTCTTGGAGCTGTCGTGCAGTGAAGATCATGTCCACTGTTCATTAGGGAAATTGTACCTGTTCTTTAAAAAGTCAAGTTTTATAAGTATGCAAAAATGAACAATAAACACTTGTAGGGCTTTTAAAATTTACAGTAAATTTTCAGAATATGCAACATGGACATATCTAGAGGCTTATGCCATTTTTTTTACAGGGTGAAAAAGGCTTTCCTGGTTATCCTGGCCAATCTGGTCAGATGGGATTTCCTGGTCCAGAAGGTCCTCCTGGGTTGCAAGGACCCAAGGTATGATGAGACTAAATGAATCCTTTACAGTTAAAAGGGAGGTTATGATAAATAACTCTGGAATATGTAAGATCACATCTCATCAAATTCAAGGATGATCAGAAATAAGACAAAGGCACTGATCTTAATGAAAGACTGATTGGTAACCAATAGATTCAGCAAATGTCTTATAACAAAAGATAGGTCCCATCTACAATGTCATCTAATCCAGTTTATTAATGCAGATTAACTGCATTGAACTGTATTATATGACAATGTAGACTCAGATAATCGATTTCAAAGCAGTTAATCTACATGCTGAAAGATCTAGCCATAGTAATAGATGATGGAGATGGCACTTTTTTGCTTGATATCGTAGCTCTTTTAATGACTAGAAGACAAAGGAAATTCCACAGAAAAACAAATAATTTACTTTGTTGGATCTTCTATAAAAATGAAACTGTAATGTGATTAATTTTATTTTCCCTTTGCTTCCTAGGGATTTCCAGGGCCAGTAGGCATTCCTGGGCCTAAAGGTTCAAGGGTTGGTATTTTGTGTACTGATATTCTCCTTTTACATTCAAAACTATAAAGGTTAACGTAAATGTGAGGGTGTAACTCTTGATGGGGCGAACTATAATTAAATATTGCAAACGTCATCACGGTTTAAATTCCAATGTAAGTTTACTAACAATGAAACAAATGATATACCAGAATGTAGCTCAACATTTTTTTTAAAGTGAATGCAACTACCAGAGGCTTCCAGTCTTCAGCAAGTGGTTAACATATAAATCTAAATTATGCGTTTTTACTCGATAGAACAGGCAATGATGCTTGGCAAAGTAGAAGGCAGTAGCAAAAAGAGAAAGGTTGCATTACTGATGAATGGACTCAAATCAAGAAAGCTATGGCCCTGAGTTTGCAAGACTTGAGCTGGACTATTGATAATAGTGTGATTTTAATGGTTTCTCCTTCATAGGATCACCATAAATTGAAGTTGACTCGATGGCAATTAGCAAAAACCATAAATGTTTTCCTGGGGAAGGGGTATTGTAAACATAGTTGGTTAAATTTGTGCATGTGGTTATTACAGATAATAAACATTCATATACTGCAATAATTACAGTTTCTGTAATGAAATTCTTTCAACTTGAGCTAATGAAGTCAATAACTACTTAATCATAGGAATGTACATGATTAGTGGAGGGTGCTTTCCAAGGAATAATCAGCTTACTCAAAGAAAATGAATACAGTTATTTCAGAAAGAAAAAGCTTGCTTATTTAAGGCAACAGCATGTTCCTTTACGCTGATTTACTTACATTATTAATAAACTAATGCAAAGTTGTAGTTCTTAATATCATTTAAAGGAAGTAAACTAACAAAGCATAATAACCACCTGGTAGTGGGATGTTTGTAGATCTTTTTGCTTGCTTGCTTGTTTGTATGTGTGTCCTTGTTTTCTTTTTGTCTTTCTGTTTTGTTATTTTTAATAGTTGCTTAGTTGTAATGTTGTACTAGTAGATAATATGTTGTTGTGTAGCTGTTAGTTTCATGTATCTAAAAATCTGTTTGTGTATTTTATTTTGTTTTTTCTTGACCGAAAGTACTTGAAAAAGAAAAGCAAAGTTTGTAGTTTTTTTCAACATATGAAATGAAATGAAACTTTATGTATAGCCCGCCCTATCTCCCCAAAGGGACTCAGGGTGGCTTATAACAAAATATACACAATGGCAAACATTCAATGTCAACAGTATGACCAAATCATAAACATCTCAACAGAATTATAAAATGACTGAAATAAAACAAGACATAATACAACCCACATAGGTCCTTAAAATCTCATTTAAAAGGCTAATTAAAAAGCTCTAAAATTTGACTAAAGTTGTTGGAGGGGAGATCGTGAACAGCAGAGTAATGGATAGATGTTAGCAGCTAGTGGAGGATGCATATAGATGTACTTAATCCTCCTCCTGTCCATAAGCTAAATTGCATGGATGTGTTTTTAAAAGCTTTTTAAAGGAGAGGAGAGAGGAGGCCATTTTTAATTCTTTAGGGACAGAGTTCCCAAGATGGAGAGACATCACAGAGAAGACTCTCACACTCTATTTCCATGCTTGAGACAGAGTGGGACTGAGAGGAGGGCCTCTTCAGCAGACCACAATGCTTGTGTTGGTTTGTATACAGAGATGCAGTCTTTCAATGGTCTGGGCCTGAACTGTTTAGGGCTTTGTAGGTAATGACCAGCACTTTTTATTTAGCCCAGAAGCAGATCCGCAGCCAGTGGAGCTGCCGTTAACATAGGAGTTGTTCGCTCCCTGTACAGTGCTCCAGTTAGAAATCTGGTTGCCGATCTCTGAACTAGTTGCAGCTTCTGAACTGTCTTCAAAGCCCCATGTAGGGAACATTGCAGTAGTTCAAATGGGATATGACCAAGGCATGGACTACCGTGGCCAAGTCTGGAGTCTCAAAGTATGGGTGCAGCTGGCTCACAAATGTTTATTGTTTGAAGGAGCTCCTGGGATTCCAGGATCAATGATGAGTCCAGGATCACCCCTAGACTGCGAACCTGTGTCTTCAGGAGTGCAACCCAGGGGTAACCCCATATCCTGGTCTGCTTTTTGACATACCAATGCATTACCAGCAGTTTATATTTTAGCTATCTCCTTAATGTTACTTTTTTATTTTTAAATTAAGAAAATTATCATAAAATTCATCATGGATAACTATCTGGAATGCCTTACACCTTTTCAGTGATGAAAAAGGTGACTTCCAAATAATCCTTATATTGTGAATTTACCCTCTTTCTTCCTGGAAAGTGGAAAGATCTAGAGAGACAACACTGTGTTCTGTTTCTAACCTCCTGTGTTTTCTGTAATTTTTTTCTATCCTTTTTAGTACCATAAAAAATCTAGTCAGACAGAATGTCTACACAATGACATTTGATCAGTAGTAGGAGCAATCTAACTAGAAGTATCCTTGAAGTGTTATCTGTTAAGGATGTTTTTGGTAGGAATGTTTCTAAATATTTCCTTCTTTATCTAAAATTGTTCTACTTTATCATCTAAAATAATGTTCACTGGCATAAAGGCCCTCATACTAGCCTTAGCAAAAAAAAAAAGCTTTTGGACCTGTGCCCATTTTTATTTAAAATTCTTGCATTTAATCAAAATCCTCTGCTAATTTCTCCTTTTGTTCTTTCTTATCACCAGGGTTTACCAGGAGTCCCTGGTTATTCAGGGCCCCCAGGCCTACCAGTAAGTATAATACATTCCAGTGTGATTTTTGCATTCACCTCCTTACAACTGCTAGCTCTTTAACTCTTAAAGATTTTACCAGTTCAGCTATAATTGGATTCAGTTTTGATAAGTTATCTGTGAATAATGCTGAAACTGCAATAATATTTACCTTGGCAATTGTGTAATTATTTTTAGGGTAATCCAGGAAATGCTGGCCCTCCAGGACGTTTAGGTATACCAGGGTGCAATGGGACAAAGGTAAGCCTAAAATAACCAATAGCCTGTCCATCAAGTGCACAGTTAGTGCAGTATCATCCTGTAGCATTTTCAGACTTGGCTCCTTCTAATGTTTTGGATTTAATCTCCTAGAATTTCTGACAGTTGGCCATGCTGACTGAAGCTTCTGGAATTTTGGGGGCTGCTGCTCTAGAATATGTATGGAAGTAGCCACACTACCTAATTATAGCAGTTTGATACCACTTTAAATGGTATGTTTTTATCCTATGGAATCCTGGAGTGTGGAGTTTTCAGAAACATTTGGAATGTACTGTCATAGACTTCTATTGGCTCAACAAACTACAAATCCCAAGATTCTGTTGGATAGAGAAATGCCAGTTTAGGTGATCTCAAATGGCTAACTGTGCAGTGGGGATACACCATAAAACTTCTGGGGAAACTGGTATGAGTGAATCAAATGGACTGTAATTTGTAGGGCTCCACTATGCTTACTTCCCTCTATATCAGACATGGGCAAACTTCAGACCTCCAGATGTTTTGGAATTCAGCTCCCTAACAGCCCTAACAGCCAGTAGGCCCTTGCCTGCTCTATATGGACTTAATAACTTGTTTTCACTGTGCATTTGTTTCTGAGTGTCCTCATGATATTATATAACTTCCAGTTGCTATTGCATGGTAAATCCAGTTTAGCTACACGTAATGAAAAGTTGGATGATGTTCTAGAATTTGGCCAAAACTCTGGAGCAACCCTATGATTTTGGCATGATTTGGAACAGTCCAATGTCTATATTTGCCACCACCATCTCCCTTTCCCTGTGCTCATCAGTGACACTGTCAGCCAGCCACAAATTATTCCCTCCTTCCTTCTTGCTGATGATGCAGGCACCTCTGCTGATGTCAGCTTGTCACATCCACAATAGCCAGCAATGCTTACAATGGCAGTCATCTGGCAGCACCAACAGTAATAAAGCTCTGTAAGGTGGTGGACCAGCTGAATTTTGACCAGCAAAGGATTTGGGATGAGGAGTGAGGCCATATCCAGGACCAGTCTAGAGCATTTCTGTCCAAGACTAGCTTCAAATTAAGCATCCCATATAGATGAGTCTTTGACAGCTTCTCTTTCAATCTTTTTGTTTTCCAGGGTGAGCAAGGATTTCCAGGGTTTCCAGGGCAAGAGGGTTTACCAGGATTACCCGTAAGTTTTTGTTCATAATAATAGTTTCAGATGCTCACAACATTTTATTAACATTAATCAAGGACAACTATGTCGACTAGAAAGAAGTATCAGGGAACTTGGTTTTGTATTGTCAAAAATATCAGATAGCATGCAAGCAACTATGGAGAGTTGCATTAATGGACAAACACAGCAAGAGCATGACCCAAGACAGGGTAATATTAGAGTATTCCATAATAATGTGATTTTAATTTCCTATTATACCCTTGATATTTATCAGGTGATAACTTGAGAAAGATGATATTAACATGTAACATGTTGGTCAAATAGTTTCTTTTGTCTTTGTTAACTTTGAATGTGCTCCAGTGGTCCATAGGGGTCTTTTGTTTACTTTCTCCCTATCCCTTTTTTTCAAAAGCCTAAGGAGTATTGTGAGGATTACATCTGATAGCTCTATCCTATTTACAATGCACTTAAATAATAATAATAATAATAATCTATGTTGTTTTTCTGGGCCTTAAAAATACTATTGAGTTTTGGCAGGTCCCCTTATGTGCTTCTACCAAACCAACCCCCCACCCCTAATTTAAACTGGCCACTGCAATTCAGAACACAAGCAAAAACTCTGATAAAAATGGAAGTATCTACTCCAACATGTTTATGAGCTATGGCACCAACTTCTTTCCTCCTAGAAAACTCTCCTTTAGATTTTTAAAACTTTTTTTGAAAACTGTTGAGGCATGTGCCATGGTTTTCTGATAAGTTGTGGATAGACCCACTTGATTCAAGCAAATTTCCAGTGTAGAATTTTGACTTGAAACTTTATATTGAAAACCCTAAAATCAATCTGTCAAATTTAAAAATGTTTATACAATGTCCTAATGAATTATTATTAACACAGATAGACAAACAGAAAGTTATTATTATAGATTCAAATGACAGCAAGAGCCAATGGTTTATAACATATGCTTTGAAAGTCTCAAAAGATTATTGTTTTGATTCTCTGAGATTGCAGTACAATGAGCTTAGATCCTGTTCAACTCAGTAGCACTTGCTTCTTAGTATATATGGATAGAATTGCATTGCAAGCCATCTTTGCACATACAGGTCCTCTGTGATTTTGAGCACTTACTAGGACACAGAAGCCCTATTTTATTATGTTGCTAAATTTCTGTATTCTATATATTTATCATTTTCATTTTTATACCTAGGGTCCTAAAGGTACCAAAGGATTAAAAGTAAGTCAGCTGTCCTGTAAAATGGCTAGATAACACTATAGCTTAAAAATGCTATCTTGTTTATTTCTGTGATGCAAATGTTTCAGGATGTTATTCTGATGTACGTAATTTTAGGATCCTATAGCTATCTTTCCAAAATCCCAAAATACTCCAAAACCTACAATTTCATGGGTGGTTTAGAGAGCAACTTCTAGTGACTTTTAGACCTGTGATATTGGTCCAATGTTCCATTTGTTGAATACTGATCATAATGTACAAACTAATCCTTTTTCTCTGTTTGTGTCTACTTTAATTCCTAAGGGGTACTCTGCAACTGCATATGACCGGGGTTATAGTTCCCAAGGTGAACCTGGAATGCCAGGGGGACCTGGATTCCCAGTAAGTTTGACAACAAGTCAGTTGGAAGAATAATTCCTTTATATACAGTTTCAATATATATGATAGTGTGAACATTTTACACATCTCATTTTGCTGCCTGAGATGGAGCAGCAAACATCTGAAGAGCTCCATTTATGCAGCTTATATGCTCTCATAGAATCATAGAATCAAAGAGTTGGAAGAGACCTCATGGGCCATCCAGTCCAACCCCCTGCCAAGAAGCAGGAATATTGCATTCAAATCACCCGTGACAGATGGCCATCCAGCCTCTTTTGTTGCTTTTCAGTTTTCAAAAAAGCTACCACTGCAGTTTGTTATTTGGTTGTGATTTTGAAACTTCTTTACCAACAAAAAGTATGGCAATATTAATGCAAGAGTAGAAAACTAATTACTAGACTAATTATTTTGTCTGCCTTCCTTCCTTCCTTTTTCTTTACTTTTGTTAAGGGAGAATCAGGACCTCAAGGGGTACCAGGACTGCTTGGTCCAGAAGGCCCTCCAGGATTTCCAGTAAGTAAAAGAGAACTGCTATCTTATTTGGAGAATGCCATTGTTCAAAGGAATTATTTATAGCCTTACATGACTTTGCATCAGGAAACATCTGAAGAAGTAGACTGGAATAAATCCATTCATCTTTCATAAATGCACTCTTTTCAAAATGTCTGAAGAAGATAGGATAGATGGATAGATGGATAGATGGATAGATGGATAGATGGATAGATAGATAGATAGATAGATAGATAGATAGATAGATAGATAGATAGATGGGTGGGTGGGTGGGTGGGTGGGTGGGTGGGTGGGTGGGTGGGTGGTGCACATAGATAGAATCATAGAACTGGAAGGAACAGCAAGGCCCATCTAGTATAACCATCTGCTATTAAGGAATACAAAGCTAAAACACATCCAAGAGCTAGCCATCCAGTCTCTACTTAAAAACCTGCCAAGAAGAAGATAGAGGCAGTCTATCTCTCCATCAAAACAGCAGCATGAAGTTCGTCCTAAAGTGTATATGAGATATCATTTCTTGCTTTATCTCTGGACAGCAGAAAATATGTTGGCTCCAACTTCAGCATGGCATTTCTTTCAAACGTTTAAAGAAAAACTGTTTACACTAGCAAAATTGGGGTGCAAAGCAGTTCTTGTACAGTTATCCTTTTCCCCCAAGTTTTCTTCCATTACCAATCCTTCCTCTTTAATAACAACTCAACTGTTACGAGGCACACAACCAGCAAAAGGATGTATCAGCATGATGTTTGGGACCACAGAGGCTGGTGTGACCCATCCTACTTCAACATGATCCTTTCCAGCCAGAGAACTGGGGGGAGGGGGGCAGGATTGTTTTATATTCCTTTGAAACCACATCTCTTGCAGTTTAGTAAAACTGGAATGGGATAGTATAACAAGCAATGAAACTTTAACCAGCATTGCTCAACCCTCAGACAGGTATTAGTGATAGAAGCTAGGCTTGTGTATGGATTCGTTATGGATGTTTCCTTCAGCTTGTCTGGTTGGTTCAGTTGGTTTGGAAGCCCGTAAAGGCGTTGGCTCTGCCACCATTACTTATCAGCCACATCAGGACAGTGGCTGTTGAAAACCATCCACTTTCCATTACACATGGAGAGCAGGGAGGGAGCAGCCACTAGAAGGAAAAGTGTGAGGGGGGGGGGGGAGGCACCACTCCAGCACCTACAGACTAAGAGAGAAGAGAGAAGAGAGGGCTTTTAAAAAGAAGCCCAGGGTAGGATACCTCCAGGTTGATCCTTCTTCCTTTCCTGGGAAATTGGAAGCCTCCTTAAAATGCCTTGGAAAACTGCCTGCTGCAGGAAGAGAGCCTGTGTTCCTGCAGCTGCTGTCCCCTTTGATGCTTTTAATCCAGGTTTAATGAAGGATATAAGGACAAACATGATGCCTAAAATGATGGGAAGGAAAGACTGTGGGAAGTCCCCCCCCCCCCCCCCCCCCAATTGCCACCAATGGGTCCAGATAGAAAACAAATCTTTTGTCTTCCCGGATCGAAAACAGATTTCAGTCCTTCTGAATTTGGGAGGCTCCCGAAAAATGGATTGGGACCCCCATCGAAATCCAGGACACCAAAACAAATCACAGTTTACCCGGATTGCACAAGCCTAATTGAAGCCACTCCCTATGTACTATATAGCTCAGTGTACTCAGGATGCCCATTGTTAAAAAAAATCTCAAGCTATGGTACGTATATGCAGTACCTTCCCTGTATTTGTGGAGGACAGGTTTCAAGATCCCACAATGATGCCTAAAAGTATGGATAAGAACAAAGTCCAAAAACACTTTCATGGGTATCAGGAATGTTTTTGGAACAATAAACTATGAAAATCAATATAAAGCAGGGGGTGTACTGTTTTCTTATCAGTAACTTTTTTTTTCAGAAATACATTTTTATTCAAGTTGAAAATATATCTGATTGTTCTTGCATTTTTAAATTGGTAGAAAATGCCATGCTGGGTATTGCAATGTATTCAGAATACAGCAGTTATAATTCATGTTTGGTATATTTCAATCAGAATATGTAATATATATTTTAATCATCTATTCTTGCTTTGTAGGGCTCGCCAGGAATCCCAGGAGTCCCAGGTCCCAAGGTATTTTGTAGGTTTTGATAGGAATAACGATGCTGAATAGTCTTTGGCACCCCCACACCCACTATTTCCACCACTAATTTATTAAGAGTTTACATATTTTTTAAAAAATTGTTTTGGTTTATAGGGTCTCATGGGTGTTAAAGTCATTGGCGCGAAAGGAATGAAGGTAAAAAACCTTATAATCTGAAATTGTTTTTGTTAATTTGGTTTTTTTATTGTTTTCCTAATAATATGTTACTAACCTCCAGTTGTTCCACTGAAACAGAAACAGTTAATCCTCCAACTTTCCAGTTTCTGAGCTACTTTCAAAATGTCTCAGTTTTCTCTCCTGTCCTCACTTTTCCTCTTTACTTCAGTTGCTGCATATGGAATTCACAGTAAAAAAAGTAGTTTCCACTCAATAAACACAGCAGGAGGGGAGGAAAGGAGGGTGTAAATTCTTGTTGACTTAGGCTTTCCTAAACTCAGCACATGAATTCCAGAGTTTCTCTGATTAAAATAGCAGTGTTTGTTATTTTTCAATAATAAAAGTTGCCTTCTTGTCACCTGGCTGCATCCTTTTGATGATGGTTTGATGTTGTTTGGCCATGCATGCTCCAGTTTTCATCTGTAAATTGTTGGAGGGTATGTTCCAGTATACTGGATTTCACATACTTCCTGCATTATTTATGCTTCTTATGAGGGGATGTTAAGTCTGAAACATATTTAAAGAGCATGATACTTATAAAAATCTATATTTCTTTGCTGGTTTGGCTACTTACTTGTGGTTTGCCAATTGGAGAATTATCCTTTGTGTCCTAGTTGATAGTTTGCATTAATTTGTATTTCAGTTCACTTGAAGCCACTGCAACAAACTCCTTACTTTTACAGCCCCAGTTTTGTTTCTTCTTCTCCTTCACCTCTTATAAATGAGTTAGCTGCCCAAGAACCCACAGCTAATGTTTCTCCTATAAGTTCCTTTGATACCAAGCAAAAGGCTGCATGGTATCTTTGTAAAGAGTTGCATCTATTTGCTATGGAGTAACATGATGGAGCTCAATTCCAAAGATTAAGATCCAATGGGATAAATGTACTTCTAGAACCAGTTCAACCAGTAGAATGGCAAGGGAGATACTTTCTCCACTCCAATCACCAATGCCTCCCCTAAAAATGATTTGAAGGGCTGGGATATCCTCTGAAATTTTGTTTTGGGGCAGCAGCAAGGATTATAAAAAGGCTGTAGAGAAGATGCGCCTTTAATTATGGTGGCACTGCATGACCAATACAGTATCCTATTTCAGTAAAATTTGCCTATGGTCCAAATCCAGTCTGAAATCATCTCCCATTTGTGTGACTCTACTAATGGAAGATACCATTCCAGAATGGGAAGATGGCAATTGTAGTTTGTTAGGAGAGTGAGAAGTCGAGGGATCTCATTTCTAAGGACCTCATCACATAGATGATATTTCCCAGTCCAATTTGCCAACTTCCATGGCGAATTGGCAGGGCAGCAGGGCAATCCCAATTTTCCCATGGAAATATAGTCATGTGCAACCATGCACAATGCCCCCATTGTTCTTCTGTGGGTATGTTTCTTATCTCTACAATCTGGCATATATGACCCTGGCTTTGGTAGCCACATATGACAATAATTCTCAATAATTACTGTGGTTTTTTTAATTTCAGGGTGACCTTGGACTAATAGGCCCTCCTGGACCAACAGGAACAGTTATTGTGACACTAACCCGAGCAGATAATACAACGGTAACAGTATAAAAATGTTCATAACAAAAAGGTTTATTATATAAATAATGTGGATAATATGGGTGATATAGATAGATATAGAAGAGAATGAACAGTTTTGTGTTGTGTTGTTTTACATGTTGCTTGGTCATGGTTTTGGGGAGAGCAGGTTAAAATTGTTGCATTTATAGAAAAGTACGTATTTCCTTTTCCAATGTATTGAGTGTATAGGTACTGATTTTACTTTTGGATATTTTTGTGACAGGAATTAAAAGGAGACAAAGGAGACATGGGTTCTCCAGGACCTCCTGGACCTCAAGGAGCATCAGTAGGTGGCACTGAAATCGATGTTTCGGACTTCAAGTGGGAGTTAGATATTAAAATATTTTAAAACTTGTCTGTTTCTTCAAGACCATACATTAGATGTTCAAAAATATAGTTTATCTGTGTCTTTGGGCTTAAAAACTCTAAATGTACCAGATCCTGCCTGCTCTTGAAAGCTTAGAAGTGGTGGCCTGAGTTAGTACTTAGATGGGTGACCACCAACAAATACCTGGTTCTGTGGGCTATATTTCAGAAGAAGGAACTAGCCAAACCTGTTACCTAAGAAAACATTAGGAAATCCATTATAAGTCTATAGGTGACCTGAACCCCTCCCCTTCCCCCCTCCACACACACGCTGTCTTTAATCAATGCATAAATATGCATAAATATTTTTTACTTAAACAATTCTAATTTGAAGTATCAATTTCTTTTTCTATCCAAGTTGAAAACCAAGTATAGGGAGGCAGTGTTGTCATATGTATTCTAGTAGCCTTGGCTGTTACTAAATTCCGTGAGCAGTTACCAAGGACCCACTCCTAGGTAGGGCCCATTGGCAATGGTTCCTGCATTGATGTCTGGGTCTGAAAACCATCACTTAAATTTACCATGATGCCCTGTATTCAGATTTGTTTTTTGGGATTCTTTACCCCTGCTAATGTACACTTGATAATGTAAAATCTACCTAAAAGAAGATGCTTTACTGGAATACTATCAGGACCCTTCCACACAACCCTATATCCCAGAATATCAAGGTAGGAAATCCCACATTATCTTAGTGTAGACTCGGATAACCCAGTTCAAAGCAGATACTGTGATATTTTCTGCCTTGATATTCTGGGATATAGGGCTGTGTGGAAGGGCCCTTAGAAATCTGGCTTATCACAGTCAGAACAGGAGAGAAGCATGATTTCCTTGATGTTCTCGTTTTCTTTCTTTCTCTCTCTCTTTTCTTCCCTTTCTCTCTCTAGAAATGGATAAACTAATTAACAGCAGATTTATAGTATGTCCCGTATATCAGTGGAATCTATATACAATAGGCCATAGTTTCACTTATTAACTTAACTTTTGTACAAGCTACACCCTCTTTTCGGCACTTCTGTCATTCATCCTATTGAAAACAATAGGTTTTGTTATTATCCATAGTTTGACGTATCCATGTGAAGTCTGTATGTTAAGATGTTCTAAGACTGTATGTTCAGTTGAGCAACATGAATGTTATTTTTTTAAAAAAAGAATTATAGGAAATTTCTGTTATAGGGCTTGCCCGGTGATTTTCAAAGCATAAGAGGAGAGTCAGGGGAACCAGGACCTCAGGTGTGTACTCATTTCTCTTTGACTCAACAGGGGTTTTTTTTTTCTGGAAGCCATCTAGTGTTGCATACCCTCTAATTGTCTTGATTTGTCAAAGCTAGTTCCAATTAATTCTTTACTTTTTTTAAAAAAAATACCAATTTTGTCTTTCATCTCATTTTCTATGGTTGTCCTTATCTTATTTCAATTGATGTAAATTGAATTCAAAATGCTAAAGTAGTCTGCATTCAGTTACTCAATAGGGGGGAGAGGAAGGGAAGAGGTAAAATCTTACTGTTCACAGTCGGTTCAATCAAAAGTTGCTTTTAATAGCTTGCTTATTAATTCTCATCAATATTTTTGAGATCTTGACCATACTATACATTTGCTTGGTCATATGTGCCTCACTATTCATCTCTGAAGAGTTGGAAGATGGTATTGTGCAAACTTTAATGGGTTACAGAAAATTCAGTTTAAGTCAGTTAAAGGCACACCATAACCAATATAAAGGTTATTATCAATCTTGTTAATTAATATTAAGTTACTGGTTTTCCTTTTAATTTCTTGTTTTGTGTATCAGGGTAGGCCTGGAAGAGATGGCCTTTCTGGTCCTCCTGGCTTACAGGTAACATATTTAAACTGGCTTATATTATACAGAATAAAAGGTACAGGAAGTCCCCAAGTTACAAATAAGATAGGGTGTGTAGGTTCATTCTTATGTTGAATTTGTTTGTAAGTTGGTGTCAGTGTTTAAATCCCCAATTGGCAATGGAAACCTTCTGGGTGAACCTAGTCAAATGTCACTCTTTCAGCCTCAGAGGAAGCAAAAGTAACCCATCTCTGAACAAATCTTCCCAAGATAACTTTTAAATAGGTTTCCTTTAGGGTCACCATAATTTGGAAATGACTTGAAGGCAAACAACAACAACATGGCTTGCCTCAACTGGTAGTCACTACTAAAGTAAGATCATAAGTGGAATAGTAAATCCCTTTGAGATAGTGAATGAATTTAATAATAATATATATTTTTTCTTCGTGGTCTCTGCGAATGCACACTTGTGGAGAGACTGCGCCTGCGCGGGCTCCAACGGAAACTTCTACATTTTATAACTTTTCAAGTTTTGGCGGTAACCCCGCCCAGCCCCGGCAGGGGATAAAAGGGCGCCCCGCGCACACCGATCTAATTCCTTTTTTTCCGCCGCACGGCTCGCTTCGGTACTTCTATTGGATATTGCTGGATAGTGATTCTGCTAGAGTTTCTTCGAGTTGTTCGACAATATTATGTCAACAACTCGCTTCAAAAGATGCGCGAATTGTCCGAAGAAGATCCCTGATTCGGACAAGCACGCTCTTTGCCTTTTGTGTCTCGGAGAGGCACACATTACTTCTTCGTGTCGTCATTGTCAATCGTTGATGGCACAGTCCCGTAAAAACCGGGTCCATCGACTTCGATACCTCCTGTACCAGCAGACGTTGGCTCCGGTACCTTCAACATCGACATCGGCGTCGACGTCAGGCGCGGTATCCAGGCCTTCGACATCAGCTTCGACGTCGAAGGAAGCATCGACATCGAAATCTGTCGGTCCCTTGGCAGAGGCCGAGCCTCGCCAGACAAGGGCGAAGAAAGAGCAGCTATGTCGACAACGTCTAAGACCTCGGTGCCGACAGCTTCCAAGGCTACAAAGCCTACAAAGCAAAAAGCTCCATGCACGGTCACAACTGAGACCGTACGCATCCGGCACTCTTCGACCAGCTCAGTGGCGTCAGTGAGATCGATCAGGTCCACGAGGCCGACATCGGCGACTCCGCCATCTTCCACGGCGGTTCGCATTGCTTTTCGCCGGTCTCAGGAAGAGTCTCGGTGTGCTTCCACCTCATCCTCCGTCCCGCCCACCCCGGGCAAGTCTGTGTCGAAGACAGCTCAGCCACCGGCAAAGAAGAAGAAGACGATGCCGCCTCCATCCTCGTCTTCTTCTTCTTCCCGAAAGCAAACCACCGCCTCCTCGGCCACCTCGTCGGCGAGGTCATCGCCGTTGCAGCCTGCTGAACCCCAGCCGGCCCCACAGCCTGCTCAGGAGCCACAACCTCTGGAACAGCCTTCGGAGCAACCCGAGTCCCCGGTGATCTCGGTGGACACGGTGATCGAGGCACCAGCTCGACATGTGACAGCCAGACAGGAGCTTTTCCCGTCGGTCACGACCTTGACAACTGTGATGGCAAGACAGGAGACTTCTCCAGTGCTGGAGACTCCGGAAAGGGGCAGGCAGACTATGAGACTGGCCCGTGCCATTCAGGCTTCGGCCTCAAAAGCCCCCCCAGTGGCTCCACCGCAGCGCCCGAGTCGGGATGTCTCCTCATCCCCTCCTCCCCAATCCGTGGCTGCCGATGACGAAGAGGAAGATGGCGAGTTACCGGGATCGGTACACTCGGGATCTGTGTTGTCTCTCGGGATCGAGAGATCACCCACTCACGATGCCTATGAGGCTGATCCTCCATCTCCCACTGACAATGTCCGAGCCTTTGCGGATCAAATGGCTCGAATGGCTGATGCCCTAGGCCTGGAGGTCAAGCAGACTTCCAAAGCAATGCAAGACCCGGTGTTTAAAAGGGTGCAAGCGGAGTCCCCACCCGCTCCCATTCCTTCCTTCCTTTGCTTCTTTCTTCTCCCTTCCTTCTCTTTCTCATTCCTTTCCATTCCTTCCTTCCTTTGCTTCTTTCTTTTCCCTTCCTTCTCTTTCTCATTCCTTTCCATTCCTTCCTTCCTTTGCTTCTTTCTTCTTCCTTCCTTCTCTTTCTCATTCCTTTCCAT